TACAATGTATTGTTGGTTATTGCTACAAATATACCCGTGCTACTTATGACTGGTTTCGTGATCCAGGGTCACAAAATGTCCTTCCTTCTTCGCCACTTACACATTCCACTATACTTTTTAGATTATACCATATCTCCCATAGCTGACCCTTCAACTCTTGCCTTTCTTGTACAAATTTCTCGCATGATATAGGCTAAAGATGTGTTTAATTGTTTCTTCCTCCTGGCATTCATCACGTAATCCTGTTGGATGTTTTCCTAGCACATGAAGAATCTTGTTTAGCTTGCAATCTACAATTCTCAACCTACTTATTATGACTTATTCTCTCCTTTTATTTCCCTTCTTACTTTCCATACCTAGCCTACGTTATTTTGGATCGAATACAAGTGTCTTCCTTTAATTTCATGATCCCACTGTTGTTGCCATTTTTCCATTATATTTTTCCACACTAAACTCTTTCCTTCTGACTTTGACAATTTAATTGATAATTTAATTTGATAATGTTGACATCAACATGCTCTTTTTTGTTGCATCTTTTGCCAATTCTACTTTCTCATTCCCCTGGATGCCCACATGTGTAGTTTGTAAATAAAATCTTATAATGTCAATGTCAATGTCAGTTTTATTTCTATAGCACAACTAAACACAACAACAGTTAACCAGTGTGCTTTACACCAATACAAGAGACAAAAATATATATATATCAATATATAATTAAGAAAATCATAAAAGCAAAAACACACAGTGCAATACATTTCATTACTGACCATATGCCAGTTCAAAAAATCGTACAGGCAGCCAGTGCAAAGTGTGTAGCACTGGAGTAATGTGGTCCCGTTTTTTAGTACATGTCAGAAGTCTTGCCGCCGCATTTTGTACCATCTGTAACCGGGATAAAGCTGATTGGCTAATCCCGTAGTACAGTGAATTACAATAGTCTAGCCTCGATGTTAAAAATGCATGAATTCTTTTTTCAAAGTTATTAAAAGATAATATAGGTTTTACTTGAGCTAAAAGACGAAGCTGGAAAAAGCAGGATTTGACCACTGAGTTTATTTGCTTGTCAAATTTTAAACCATCATTGAACACAAAACCCAAGTTCTTTACCCAAGGCTTTGCCGGAAGTGTTGAATTACCTAGGGTTATTTGACTAGGAGAATCAGATGAGCCAAAAACTATGATTTCAGTTTTATTCTCATTAATGGCCCGCTATTTCTTGAATATGGGAGAGAGAAATAGGTTCAAATTGCTGAAACTCCGCCTTACAAGTCGTAAAGATAGAAGGATCAAAAGAGGGACAAGATATCCCCAATCTAATGTCACTGATCTTATTCACAAAAAATTTAAGAAAATCATCACACAGGGTCTTTGATACAGCAGGATTATAAAGTAATTCCTGATGATTTCTATTTACACCAGACTTTATACTCATTAGGGCAGAGCCAGAATCACTACAAAACTTTGTCACATGTGGTTTGTTCAATCCATTCTACTGCAATTAACCCTTAAATGCATACCTCTGGTCTTTAGTGACCCGGGACAGCATTCACTACCCTCTCTTCCTCCTTCATGTTTTTAAAGTTAGACATCAACTTTCTTAGTAGGCCTATTCCTCAATCTATCCATTATAAACAATAGCTGTAACAAGAAAAAAAAATATATATATATAAAAGAATGCCTGTTTTGCACATAAAGTGTCCATTATTGTGACCAAAGTAATATTACAGTGACAAAACCCTCGTTATTTTTCATATTTCATATCATTCTGCTTGATGTTGTCCATGTAAGGATATAGTAAATTTGAAAAAATGCTAGGTGTTTGAAGCATGTTACTGTATGCTGATAGTACAGTGTGACCCCTTGTATTAGTCGTTAAATCTCAAATATGTAGAATTGATAAACAAATACAAAATAAAAACAAAATAAAATAAAACACTTGGCAGCAAATATGATAATTTTATTTGTTTAGTTTAATGTCGTGACCATGAACCAACATTAGAGAACCATGAACATATATAGCTAACATTAAACATATATAGCATATATAACATATATAGCTAAAATTAAACTAGAAACTGCTTTGTGAAGACTATGGAAGCTTGTTTCTGCCACTGAATAAAAAAAATGAATTAAAATAAAAAAGGTAAAGGTAAAAAGGCAACTTTTCATCTCACAATTCAGATTTTTTTTTCTCAGATTTGTTACTTTATATCTCACAATTCTAAACTTATGACAAAATTGTGTAAGTTTTTTTGTGAATTGTGTCAAAAATTGTTTATATCTTGCAATTCTGAGGAAAAAAGAGTTGTGTGATAAAAAACGAATAAATCTGAGAAAAAGTCAGAATTGCAAGTTTATCTTTGAATTCTGACTTCATAAGATGCTACCATGACTTTCTCGCAATTGCAAGTATATATCTTGTAATTAGGACTTTATAACTCATAATTTTGAGTTTATATGTTGCAAATAACTCTCAAATGTGAGTCTATATCTCACAAATCTGACTTTTTTTTCTCACAGAATTTGTCGCAATTACCTTTTACATTTTTTTCTTAGTCCATGGCGGAAACAAGATTCCATATAAGTCTAAAATGATTTGATACTCTCTTTCCAATTTTTCTATAAGTGCAGGATACTTATTTCTATCGCAGCAGTGTTTCAGTCTGCGATAGAAATAAGTTGTTAAGCTGCTAAGTTGTGTCTGCTCATTTGTGTGCATCTCTTGTCACAGTGTTATAATGTTTTTCTCCAATGTGAACTCTCTTGTGTTTTTTCAGTTCAGAATCTGTAAAAAAAAAGTCTTTCCACAATCATACGATCTTTCACACCACTGTGTCTTTTCTGATGCTGTTTTGAGGCAACATGCTGACTAAAACATTTTCCACACATAGCACACACATGAGGCTTCTCCTTTGTATGAACTTTCAGATGGTTCTTCAGGGATACTCGCCAAATAACGTTTTTACCGCATTGATCACAGTTAAATGATCTCTCTCCAGAATGAGAATGCACATGTAATTTAAGAGCA